AGTAATTATACCCAAATGAATCAGCAGTAACATACAAATTTTCCACGTTCACAAATCTTATCAAAACTCTGGGCTTAGTTTGGGCATCCAATAAATCCCCAAGCCATGAATTATTTTGGCATTTGGAACAAAATTTTATTCCAATATGTTGGAGCCTCACACAATTGTATAATCCATTTCAATTTAGTCCACCAAAGCAATTAATATGACCAAGATATATGTTTAAAGTACAGTAAAAGATACACAAAATTTATGTGACATTTCACATGCTTCTCTGCAGGGTTATTTACTAATAGGTCACTGAAAAAATCTGTTTTACAAATGTTTGATATAAATTGTCATTTAAAGAACATGAATATCAATGCCCATTACTCATGAAATATGTTTCCACTCTGACTCTTCCTTATTGCAGAACTACTAGTAAAGTTTAGATTATTGTGATTGGACATACAGTTCTGTTTAAGTCAGTTGTGAGCAATTTACCAAGCACAACACATAAAAAAATAAAAAAAAAAAAATTAGGAAAACATTTATTCCAGACCTTTCAAAGACCATCTGCATGTTTATTTTCTTACAGAAAACATCACCAGAACTATCATGCTTCTAAACAAGAGCTCTGTGTAAAGGTGCAAGAGAAGTAAGATCTAACTGGTTCCAAGATGGTTGTAGATAATGTTGCACTTTAATCAGACATAACAAAAAAGTGCAGTTCGTCATCCTTATATCATCTTATAGATATAAACTCATTATTAAAAAAGTCTTCACATTCACACATGTATTTTATTTTGAGTATTTACAACTCCGAAATAAAGCCTAGGAAAAAATATTACTGTAAAATTTTACCTTTACTTCAGTGTATTAACAAAATCATATCACTAATCACTTAAGTATATCATATTGTTCAACTTTCCCATTTGTTATATACTAATTAGATTATGGAATATAAGCTATTTCTGTTTTGCCGCACAAACAAAATGATTTCCCAGTTAACTTCTAAGCATAGCATTAGATTTTTTTCCAAATGAATTATAAATTCTTAGGATTCATTTAAGTGCATTTTACTAATGATCTGTATTTGACAGATATTCTTTCAACCACAGCATGGTATTAGCCAACAATGGTAAAGAAAAACTCAAGATAAGTACAAAATAAGGATTTTTGCTCTAGGGTGAAAATATTTCAATAACAAAAACTTGAAGTGATTACTTGGTAGGTTACAGCCTGGAAAAAAGAGTGCCAATAGCTTAATACCATGTAAAAAGGTAAATAATCTGCAGACATGATAAAGTTATTGCAAACAACCTTAAGCATATTTTTGGATTTGGAGAAATCTAATCCTAAAATTGAAATGTCCAGACTTTGATTTCCGACTTATTCATTTATAACATTAACAACATTGGAAAGGTATGAAATGGTTTACACAGAACAGGTAAATTGAGTATAACTTCAGTGAAACATCAATATTTAGAAAACACTAGATTATGAATTAGTTAAGTTAATCACATGCAGAAAGAAATCGGGGAAGGAAATAAAATAGAGGAAAATGAAAAAATCATTAAAATGCACAGGTATTATTAACTTAGGAATCAAAACACCAGCTTAAAGGAGAAGATAGGACTAAAGCCATATATACTGTCCTTATTTGAGTCAAAATTCAATAAACATTTGAAAAATAGGGAAAATATCCAGTAAGTTTGATCTGAGTTTCATTAATTTCTTCCAAAATGTCTGAGGCTAGGAAAGAACAATTATTACAGCAAGATGCATGGATGACTTTTTTTCACAGCCTCAAAAATAGATCCCTCTATTTGTCTTTCAGTAGTTTTGAAAATACCTCAAAACTGTTAAGAAACATCAGGATAAGACTACCATAACAGACATGCAAATCTCATTATTAGGAAGATATTTTCATAGAATCATTGAATGGTTTGGGTTGGAAGGGACCATTAAATTTCAACTAGTCCACCCCCCCCTGCCATGGGCAGGGACACCTTGCACTAGACCAGGTCGCTCAAAGCCTCATCCAACCTGGCCTTGAAGATTTCCAGGGAGGGGGCAACCACAACTTCTCTGGGCAACCTGTTATAGTGATTCACTACCCTCTCCGTGAAGAACTTTCTTCCTTATGTCCAATTTAAATATACTCTCTTCCAGTTTTTAACTATTGCCACTTGTCCTCTCACTACAGACCCTGATAAAAAGTCTCTCTCCATCTTTCTTATAAGTCCCCTCTATATATTGAAAGGCTACAATAAGGTCTCCCAGAGCCTTCTCTTCTCCGGGCTGAACAACCCTGACTCTCTTAACCTTTCTTCATAGAAGTGTTCCAACCCTCTGATTATTTTTGTGGTCTTCCTCAGACCCAACCTACCCCACTATGTCAATGATGAAGATATAAAATGGTATTTGATCCTAGTACAGACCCTTGAGGAACACCACTCATTACTGATATCCATTTGCACACTGAGCCGTTGACTATAAGTCTTTGGATGTGGCCATCCAGCCAGTTCCTTATCCATCTAATAGTCCATCCAACAAACCCATATCTCTCCAAGTTAGCAGCAAGAATAGTGTGGCAGACTGTATCAAGTGCCTTACAGAAGTACAGGTAGATGACATCTGTAGCTCTTCCCTTGTCCACTGATGCAGTCACTCCATTATAGAAAGCCACTAGATTAGTCTGACATGATTTGCCCTTGATGAAGCCATGCTGGATGTCTCTAATAACCTCCCTGTCTTCCACATGTTTCAACATATCTTCCAGGAGGATCTTCTCCATGATCTTTTAACTAGTGCATGACACACAAAATAGGGGAATACAGTTTCCTGATGTAGAAAAGTTTGTCCTTAAATTTTTATTGTTTTCAGTGTGAAGATTCTAGACTTCCTTGTGAGGTTCAAGGCAGACATAAATTGTTTGCATATCTAAGTTTTAAGATAGATTTTTGGCATTTTGAAAAAAAAAATCCATTTAATTATGATATTAAAATAATTTTAGCCTATTTCTAGGCTGCCTTAACATCAAAACAATTATTTTTAAAATATCCAAAATGATCTAAAAGTCCTTCTTCACATTTTACAGAATTCAATTTCCCTCACCCAATTTTAATATTTTCTAAGAAAAGTAAATTATCTTCCAATAAATTATACTGGCTCCTGCTGTCTTTTTCAACCATGATGATAAACTTTGAAAAAAACAATTTTAGTTTTCACCTCCATATTACCACATTCTTGGGGGCGAGGGAGAGATATCAACATATCAAAATAAGTGTACAGCCTCTATCCAATATACTCATACATTCATATCAGTCAATATTTAAATTTCTCTGGTAAAGGAATACAAGGATCAGAAAAAAAACGTAATTTTATGTTGGTTTGTAAGGCTGAGAAGCAAAAAGGATGCAGTAAGTATAGAAATTTAGCAGCATTAAAAATACAGAACTATTTATAGCAACTGAAGAAAAAAACGTTATTTACATAGCATTTCAAGAAAGACTAGCACTATTTAAAAACAAACTGTACATTAAACTTTGAGCCTTTCTTCTTTACCTAAAAGTTATATTTAATGGCTTTACCACTGCATTTGCAACCATCTTTTTATGCAAACATTTTCTGCTTTCTCTTATGGAAAATTCCTAATGACAGGATTTGCAAAGACAGAACAAAGCAAGAGACAGAAGAATAAAACACATTAGAGACTAACAGATTATTTTAATTTTTTTTAATTTAATCAAATGGTTCTTCAGAATTCTTAACTTTTAATAAACTTATTCAGATTAATAGAAATATTTAAAAATATATCTAAAGAATATTTTTTATTCCAAGTGTATGCTGCTTCTTTCCCCCTTCACCTGCTCCTAAATTATTATATCAGGTACACAAATTATAGAAAAATATTTTAAAATGTCAAACACAGACTACTTAAGAATTATTTGATTATTATTATTATTACATTTACATTAGGACCTGCAGCACAGGCAAATACTTTAAGCTGTGTTAACACAATACAGAACCTAGAAATAAATGCACTCTACAATATGACATTTAACCTGACAAAATATAGTGACAATGTAGATTACAAGCAAATAAAATTGAAAGATTAAAAGCAAAAAGTATCAATAAATGAAACCAAACATTTAGAGGCAGGCTAAGCACGCAGAACAAGCAAGAGTTTAGCTTTCATGAAAGAAGAGACAACTTACATGGCTGTTGAGAAGAGTGCTTCTGTGAGTAGAAAGACCATCAGACTTTTGCAGCGTCTCAATCGCCATTTCAATCTGATAATACACATCATTAAAAAATTGCTCAAGACAAGACAGTAAAAAAGGCTGATCAAAAAAATGCTGATAGATTGCCTTAAGTTCAACAGAAATATCTAGTTCAGTCGTGGCTAAGGGATATTTTCTACTTAAAGGCCTCATCCTGAAGTCCCCATGAAGGCAAACCTCCCCAATGAAGTCTTGGAGGCATTCTGCTTGCATATATACTGCAGGAACCCACTTTCAAAGTCCAATCTACCTTCCTCCCTGCTCATGAAAGGAGAGAAGTGGATTTACCAGTAAGTTACATTGCAAACAGTAAAAATTACTGAACAATACATGTTCATAATAAATAAAATAAAAAATAAAGAAAAAAAAAGCCCAGAATAAAATCCTCAACATTTCCTCCTCCAAGTATTTAAGAAAGACCTGTGTGCACTCTGTATGTGAATTAGAAACAAAATTTCTGTACTCTGAAATCATGGAGTAATATCTTAGTCATTCAGTAGGTTTTCTGCCATTAGTTTCATTGGACAGCATATCACCCCTACAGCCTGTCAGAGCATTCTTTGAATATCCAGAGCTCTCAAAGTGAACGAAAATTGAAAGTTTACACAGACAGCAAGATCCATCCTTAAAAAAAACCCCAGAAAATCATATGGATTCAGAATAAAACTTTTAAAAGAAAAAGTATTACATACCACTAATCATATAGTAGTATTACTCCTGATACAAATGTTAAAGACAACCATACCCATTCCCATTCTTCCCCCCATATTAATATATCTTTTGATTAGTTCTATGATGACAGCATTAAAAATAAAATTACAATCTAACTATAGCTTAGCTGCAGAGCTAGAATAGGAAAAACACTGAAAGTGATAGAGAGAATGGGGTGTACAGTAAAAGAAGGCACATAATTAGCTACATTAAATGGAAAAAGCACAAAAGCAATGGAAAACCATCTGTACATTTAAAACCACTTATTCCCCATGTAGACAGTTTTTAAATGTCTTCCCTAGCCTTTAATTATTATAGTATTATCCAAAGAGTTTATGCTGGAAAATTACATTAAAAAATGAGTTCACTCAATATACAGCACCAAACTGGAAAATATTTCAGATTACATTTCAAGTAGTGCATAAGTACAATTTGATTACCCCTGTTTATAAGCTGATTAAATAGTATTTTATTGTAGTAATTCTCAATGAAAAAGGAAGTCTTTCTTATGACTGTCTAATATTAGAAATATAAGCCTTTTTATAAAAGCATACAAATATCTGATCAGTATGCAAGAAAATATGCTTCAATAGTACAAACATAATATTTAAATCCAGATTTTTTTCTTGATTCAGTGGAAAATACTATTAGGTCAAACTGTTCAACCAGACAGAAAAGGTCAAATTTAAAAGGATACAGTATGCTAAAAATTACAAGGTTAAGTATTCATCATACTAAGATAAACTTACTGTATACTGCAACCATAAAATCTCCCATCTTAACATAACATAATATCATGATACATAATTTGAAACATGATTCTGAATCTTCCTCTACTGTTTAACAATACCTTGTCTACAGCAATACTATGGGACTGAAGCCCTGCCTCCTGCTGCTCATTCCAGCTACTACAATACACTCTCTTTGAGACAGGTTTTTGCGGCCTGTTCAAAGAACTAATCCTTTAAAATCATAAATTAAAAAGTTATATATGCATGTATATATACATATAAACACTTCCCTTCTTTGGCAACAGCATAGAGCTACAAACAGTTGAAGGAACAAGGCCCTGGGGAATATATGTGAATATATATCACCAATATTGCCACTGAAGAAAATATGACCATGGCCACAGATCCATAGATTTTAAACCAGAGATTTTAATTATTATTATGATGAGCTTTTCTTATTTTTTGAATAATTTATGTCAAGAAGTGTTCATTACTGCTAAAATTCACCATTAATTATTTCATCAATCTCATGAAGCATTACTGAACTAGAGCAGGTCTTTCAGAAAGACATCTGATCTATATTTAAGTGATAAGTATTCACCATATTCTAGTGTAACCTATTCCAGAAGTAAATAATTTCATTATTAAATATTTTTTACATTGTTTCTTGTCTAAATTTTGTTGAGTTAGATTTTGAGCTTTATCCACTACTGAAATATCTCTACTATCAGAAATTTTTTTCCCATGCGGGCACCTAACCATAGACAAAGCATCTCTCAACCTTCTCTAGCATGTAAATAAAACAGGTTTAACTTGAATGCAAATTTTCCATACAGTGAATCATTTGTCCTGCTCATTTTGAAAACTTCTACCTACTTCTGAGTTCTCTTGCATTTCAATTTTTTTATTTTTAAATATCTCAAGGTTCTGGTAGGCCTGGGTCCTCAGGCTTTCAAAATGGTCTATGTGAAACAGGCCCCTGCATGTGCAGGAAGTGCCAACTACTTCAATGGTAGTTATTCATGTGCAGAATCTGATACTTCAAGCTTTTAAGTTCAAAGTTAGGGCCAAGACCTTAGACTTTGGTTCTAGAAAAAAATGAGCATGAATTTAAGTTCACCTTTATTCAGAGTAACATTTAAGCATATATCCCAAATTAAATAGGGATTATCCTGAATAGTTTTCTTTTTGTTTTAAATTGTAGCCTTGACAGGGAAAAATTATGAAAATAAATTTAACATTTTAAATTATATTCTACACATACAGAGATTAATTAATTGCATTCCTTACATTTCTAAGGACGAGCAGTCAGAAGTCACAAGCATATTTACAACTGGAGTGCAACATTACAAAAAAAACCCCACATCCATCTGAATGTGCAGTCAGTCATAAAACTGGGGTTTTTTAAAAGACTAATTCAATATGGAAAGACATATTTTTGTAAATTATTTTGACTGATAACTGAAAAAAGTCATCATTCCCACAGTAAGCGCAACCAAACCATGTTAAACATATCTTCAAGCATATTTACAACTGGAGTGCAACATTACAAAAAAAACCCCACATCCATCTGAATGTGCAGTCAGTCATAAAACTGGGGTTTTTTAAAAGACTAATTCAATATGGAAAGACATATTTTTGTAAATTATTTTGACTGATAACTGAAAAAAGTCATCATTCCCACAGTAAGCGCAACCAAACCATGTTAAACATATCTTCATTACTGTGCTGGGTTCAGTCAGGAAAGAGTTAACTCTTTACTATGGCTGCTAGGAAGCTGTGTTCCTGGATGAAGAAAGAAGCACTGATGAGTTCTTATCTGGCTCTGGGGAATGCCTGCACCAGTTTCAAAGTCTGTCTCTGCTTCTGATACTGCAGCTGTGTTCCCAGCTCTGCTGTCTCGCTACAGGCAGTGCAGGGGACACACAGTTCAGGCAGCTGACCCAAACTGACCAAGGAAGTATTTCATTCCATAGTACATCATGCTTGGGGCAGAGGTGAGGAGGGGGTCCAGAAGCCATTACTCTCTCTCTTACTCTCTCTCTCATTCACTCCCGTACACTTGCTAACCTGTGTATAGCTGCTTTGCTAACTCCTGCGCTACCTCGTTTGTGAGGGAGTTGGTGGGTTTATTTAGTTTTCCCGGTCGTGCTATCGTTGATAGAGCTTGGTGGTATTTTGCTAGCTGGA